CATGGTGCAAGCATGAACTAGGAAAATATGAAGAAGCTGTCAATCTTTATAGAGAGGCAGCTACATACACCGCAGATGACCTCAATGCTGAAAAGGCAGAAATTCTGAATAACATTGGATTATGTTTCGTACGTCTTGGAATGAAAGAAAAAGGGCTTGAATTTGTTCGCCAAGCCCAAGACATAAGAAAGAACTTAAATACACCGAATAAGGATTCTCTAGAGGCTGATTCTCTTTTCTACGTTGGGTTTTGCTTGTTGAAGAAAGGTGACTATGAGGAGGCTATGAAAAATTTGGAGGATGCTAAAGTTAGATACGATCAACTTGGGTCTGAGATAAGCATTTCCTTAGCACTGAGAAATTTGGCAGCATGCCTGTCTTTAAAAGATCACCCAAACTGCGACCTTGCTTTGGTTTACGCCCAACAGGCTCTGGAAAAGATAAAAAATTCTGTCCATCATTACTACAATCCTGGAATTTCTAGAAGCTTGTCAGTTCTTGGTCTCTGCCTTTTCAAGGCGGGAAGATTTGATGAAGCAAAGCAAAACCTGTTAGAAGCTTTGGACATCACCGAAATTTTGTTTTCAGAAGACCATCCATGGCTGATAGACATTTATCAGCTGCTCTACGAATTGTATACAAAAGATGGCGAGCAGAAGGAGGCGGAGAAATACGAAACGAAAAAGATAAGCATAGTCAATGAGATAGAAAAAATGGCTAAGGATGTGGATACGACTAAAGATGTAAGATGGAAGTCTCTTCACGGACTTCCTTTTTTCTGAAAACAATGGAAATGGTTTCATAGTAAAGTTTATATAGCTTGGGTGAGGATAACTATAATAACATGAAGTATACACGGGGAATAGAAAGAACATAGTTAGCTTTACATATGCATAGCTAAGCGTCACCAATCACTTTTTTATATAGCCCAAAAAGGTTCGTGTAAATAACTAATCAGGTAATGAATGTAGAAAGTCACAGAATAAACACTTGAAAAGCATTTAGCAACATTAATCTTTACTGTTTTTCGAAAACAACTTGACAGAAAGATACAACGACAAAGCTATTTGTCGTAAATACGGCAAACTCGCGTTCTTTTACAATTTTGCGATAAGATGGCCGGTTTGTCAATAAGATCTTTCCCAGTGCGTGCCTGCACCTCTGAAATTTATTTATTGCAAGATTCTTTACTGTGATTGCAGTTGATTTGACCTTTCCAAGTTATATCACGAAGCTCGTTCAATGATTCACTACGTTTGTTGCTAAGTTCATAAGTATCATCCGATTCTACTACGTCATGAGCTATGGTCGTGTCCGAGTTGTACGAGAGAGCATACTCATGCGCAAGCTAGCCAGTTGTGTACGTCTTGTCGCAAGCGAAGCTACGGACAAATTTAGGAAAAATATTTATTCATTATAATCCTTCCTATCCATAATACAATTTCTCACAGTATCTTCTAAAAAGGATACAATCGCTAATTACAGATAGGTTTATCGTTTTCCTAACGTTATTGTTCATAACTTTTGTTCCATTTATGTAGAAACAATTAAAGTATGTCATCCGAATCATTAACCGATGACGAACCCGCCGTGTCTGAATTTTATGAAATCAGCGCGCCGCAACGGCCTGATAGTGTTCCCATTAGCGGTGACTCACGTTTATACTCATCGCTTTCGGCTATGGAGGCTAACATGTCAGAAACGAATAAATGTCTGAAAGGTATATTTGACGAGCATAATGCCGCCAAAAAGCGACCACGTGCATCTATTGAAAACAATGAATTATTGATAATAGACGAAGCCGAACAAGGCGAACAGCATGAGAACTCGGCCCCAAAGAGGGCAAAAATTGCCACAAAGTCTGGGCACAATTCTGACGGCAATGACCGCTCATTTGACCAGCAAAGTCCTGAGTCTGAAAGTACTGAGGGAAACCATGAGATTGTGCATGAACAATCAGACGAAACTTTGAGTTTATTCGAAGGACCAGAAATTGATTCAGAAATTGAAAACGCGGTCGATAACGATGATCTTCTTTCTGAAATTGCCCAAACACTATCTTTTAAGGACCACCCGAGCCCCCCATTTCAGAAAAATTGGCAAAAATCATAAACGCCAAGCTTAGCGAAGATTTCGACGCTACCAAATTAAAAGAAATTCTTAATAAATACCCTCGGCCTAAAAATTGCGAGCAAATGTATGTGCCGAGAATAAATCAAGAAATATGGCAAAATATGAAGCCATTTACTAAAAAGGGGGATATCAAAATGGCAAATCTACAAGATTCCACCATCAAAGGTTTATCAGGGCTTGCTAGTAGCATTGACAACCTTTTACAATGCCGGGAAAATAAGACAATTCCAAATTATATAGCTCTTATACCAACACTGCTTGATGTAACTGCTTTATTTGGCCATGTATGCAAAGAACTTTCATACAAGCGCAAAGAGGCAATTCGGCCCATACTTCATCCTGATTTTAAACTGCTCTGTGCAAGGACTCACAAAGTGGGCCCTCTTTTGTTTGGGGAAGACCTAGCAAAATGTGCAAGATATTCGAAGCTCTAGTAAGACAGTAATGAATCTAATACCCAATCCAGGCCAACGGGCACAAACTATTTTTACAAAATGGTTTTCATCAACCCAATCACAGGCACGCAAACCTTTTTTATACCAACAAGGGAGGGCACAGTTCCCTCCCAGAAAACCCCAAAACTTCCAGAACCGGAAAACATTCACAAAGAACTAGAGTTATTAAAAATCAGGTAATGAATCATTAAAAAACTTGATGAATCATGTTCAACAGGCTCAATCCATGTAAGTAAGTCTGGCCACATCAATATATTTCTTTAATCTTTCGTCAAATCATCCCATTTTATATCTGTCTCCAAACTAATTAAAACAGTAGAATTATCTCAAAACAAACGGACAAAAAATATGCAATCATTGAAGGCTTCATTATGTTTTACATTATAATTTTCAAAAAAATACCACTATGCAAATATTTTTCGAAATAGTTAATTATCATTATTTCAATGTAAATATCGTATGCACTTTGTATTGTGATAGATTGAGCAACTTGAATGAACCGTTATTAGAGAGTAGCAAAGCACTAAACAACTGATTGTGTAATTCCAGTTGCAGGAAGAGAAGAAATAAAAATTTGACGTGCAAGTAGTATTCAAACTGATAATGGATGTGAACCAAACTGCAAAAACCAAGTTTCAGGTTTGTTTGTTACTTTCATGAACAAATTGATGAAATTTCCTATTGAACATCTCATTTTCTTACGAACATAGCTAACAACAAAAATTTTGCGGTCAAACGTTCCCTAGCATAATAATTTTTATCAAACGAGCTTTCAGCTCTCTTTACTGCCTTGACTGGTTATAAGAGACGTCAAAGGCTTAACTTACAATTATATATCCACGATAACAAAAGTCTGAAGACAACTTGCAGATTCTGCGATAATTTTACGGCGAAATGTTTCGTTATTACGTTTAATGTACGTTTATATATCAGTTATTCGTGTAAAGCTATATGTAAAAGATTAATCACCAAAAGAAATAATTTAAAGTGAGACAACATCTCCCTTCGGTACTCAATATGACTTGATAACAACATAATGTTTTTTAGTAGCTTATGTTTTATTCTGAAATTTCTTTCTTGTGCTTTCAACGAGATTTTTGACTGTCTATACCACGTCATACGTCTTAAATACTGCCATCATATCGTTGTAAGATGCATTATATAAAATTGCTGATCTCAATTGTTCCGATTGCAGAATGCTTAACCATCCAGACTTAATAGGGGATTTCCCAAGTGCTGTCCACCATTTTTTGCTTACTCATTTGTGTAAGCAATCATCTAAAGACTAAAAACGCGTAGGCGTCATGACATTAAAGTCAAGAGCAGGTCACTTATCGTATAGAATTAGGATATTGAACGAGACTTACCTTAAGTTGAAGTTCGATTGGGATTCTATTAGCATCTACAGAGCAGAGATCCCACGAGATACTACGCATGCGCACATTGGTTATATTTCAAAGATAGTGGTTACATGAACCCCCTAAATGTGCATATAAACGATATTGCAGGGAGGCAGTAACATGATGGGTGGGCGGGTAATCTCTGGTCTGTAGATGCTAATAGAATCCCAATCGAACTTCAACTTCAGATAAGTCTCGTTCAATTTTCTAAGTGTATTAGCATCTACCGCAGAGATCCCACGAGATTTGAAAGTCATGTGGACACACTTCATGCCTACACGCAAATACGACATTAAGTTATAAACTTATTTTAATTGGAGATGTGTTAAACATACCCAGAAATAGTAGCAAATATGAATTTAAAGTATTTCCTTCTCTTGCACTATACATCCAAGTATATGTGTTCTGAAAACCCTGCCAAGTTCAGCTAAAGAGAATTCTCACCCAATATCTTTCTTATTGGGACGCTGCATGAATGGCATTTCCAAACTCCGAATCGCCACGTTGAGACACAAGGTTCTTATTGTAAAACCGATGAAAAACGCAATCAGTCTTCCAACTTGCAGCTTTCAGTATAGAGTTTATCGAAACATCACATTGCTTCGCTTTACTGGTGGCTGCGGCTCTTGTACTATGTGGTTTGAACGTTTCTATATCAATACCTGCAGCTTGCATGACAACCTTTATCCAACGAGATATAGATGACTTTGATACTTTATGAAAGGGTCGAATTGTGCTAAGAAATAGTTGATTTTCCCGACCTGGAATGGGAGCAGTGCGTTTAATATATTCTTCCATGACTGAGGCAACACATAGTCGGTGATCGGCAGGGAATTTTGGTATCACTAAAGTAGGTTGAATGCGTGTTAGTCCAGACTGTTTGACAAGTTGGTCGATATAGAAGATGTATGGAGTGATAGGGCACGCTGCCCTGTGACTAATGCACAGAGCATTACATAACTTTTGAGTTAGCTGTTGTAGGGTTAAGTCTTCTACTGCGGGATATGTCTTTAAATACTCTAAAACAATGGAGGTGACCCAGGTCATTTGATATCTTGGTAGTGCTGGTCTAGAATGGAACACTCCCTTCATAAATCTCTGAACCATATGATGTGTACCAATCGTAGAATTCCCTTCAGTAATAACGAATGAAGATAACATATTTCGAGCAGTGTTTATGCAACTGTAACGCATCCCTTGATCAAATAGGTGCTGTAGAAAGCCTAGAACTACCTGTAAAGTTTGATAAAGGGGATCTGCATTCCGTTTATTAACATAGAGTTGCCACTTGTTAAGGTACACCTGATATTGTTTTTGTGTTCCTGGCCACCTGGAATTAAGTATTGTTGCTTGAGCTGGTGGTGAAATGCCTTTACTTGAGAGTGATCTCCGGATAAGAGACAAGCTATCAGTCTCAGTCTCTCTTTGAGTGGATGTTCTTTAGTTTGATTGAGTGGTAAGCTCACGTTGCTTTTGTTTTTGGGTAGGAGAATGAGTCGGTGAATCATTAATCTTGCCATCATCGGATACCAGGATTGAGTTGGCCAATTCGGCAAAATGAGAATTGTCCGTGCCTGGGCCATTTCTACTTTTTGTAAAACTTGTGATATAACACTAAACGGTGGAAAAGCATAAAGAAACGATTTACTTCAATCAATGCGAAAAGCGTAAATAACCCACTCCTGTGGATCTGGGTGCCACGAGACATAGGGTTTAAGTTGATAGTTTAGTCTAGAAGCGAAGATGTCAAATTTTGGAGTCCTAAAATATGCTGGAAGCTTTGTCAGCCACCACATTAAGTTTCCCAGGGATATAGCTGACAGTTAACCATATGTCTCTGATTCTTCCCCACGCCCATATATCCCTTGCAATTTTATTGCAATGGTGAAAGTAGCAGCCTCCATGTGGTTAATATATGCAAAGGCTGTGGTATTATCGATCATTACTTTAATGTGGGTGTGAGCTAGATCTCTACAGAGAGATTGTAGCCCAAACAGTATTGCTTTGAGTTC